TTTCTATTGTAAATTCGACGATCCATGCAGTTCTTTATACGAAAGGCACTGCACTAAATGCCACAACAGCCGAGTTAGTTCAATATACGATGAATTAATCAAATAAAACCTACAGCAAACATTAGATTAAACACTGGGATAATCGGACACCATTAAAATATATACTATGACAGAAACATACGACTACCTTTAAGTCTGTTCTGAAATAAACTATAGTGAACACAAGAAAAGTTTGCATATTGCATTTGCTTAAGATAAAGGTTACGAATAACAAAACACAACTATACACACACACATATAGGCTATAAAACAAATACACAAAAACACATACATATATGCGTGTGTGAATGTATTTCTTCTTTTGGCAGACAAGCAGTGGAAACGTCTTGCTAAATTTCATATTCATTTAACAACGGCAAATAAGCTAGTTAGTCTCTGAAAAAATTTAAAAAGGGTAAGACCAATCTTAAACTCATGCTTTTTTCTTTTTTTGTCATCAATTGTGTCTTTAGACTAACTTTACGATGAAACCCTTCAACGAAATGGTGTATGATGCCAAAAGGAAAAGAGAAAGAATGAGAGGGTGAGGAAAAAAGGTTGGGTATATCTTAACCTTGCTACGTAGGGTGAAGTAAGGTAAAAGTGGATTCTTTTCGACAAATTAAGATTTATAATATCTATAAACACAATGCTCAAATTTCAAAGATTTCCTTAATGCACAGCCCTATATAAATCATTTAATTATAGCTTAAATAATACTTCATCGTGAAGCCCATTTACGCGGCCAATACAGCTTGCTGAAGAAAGATAGACGGAGTTTAAACCTGGAAGATTTTCACTGAATCTTTGTTGTTGGTGTCATGATGTCTCTCTCTCCCTCTCTGTCTGTCTCACTCTCCGTCTCTCTAGATAGAGAGATACCATGCGCGCGCCGGGAGGAAGTGTCTCTCGCTCTCCTCTCGACCTGTCGATATCCCGATGGCAGTTCGCTCTTTATAAAAGTCACAATTCCATCCTTTTAATTGATTTCTCATAATTAACTCAGTGTTCATCGATTTCCACTCGACGGCGCATCGGCCTCTCTAACCGGGAACACACCGGTCGCGAACATAAGGCCTTATTATTTTCGCGTTAACTGAAGCCGAATAAATATTGACCACATTCAATATCAATTAAAGTCAAACGGTACTAAATAATCCCACTGTTTCTGCCACCGGGGTCCCATCGACAGGTGGATAGGTCGTCAAAATGGAGGGAAAACGTGTATTTTAAAACGGGATTATGCATTTTGGTCGTAGTTTTGCTTCCTATGTTCTGTCATTTGATAGATAGATTTACACACTTTTGTCTGACTAGCCATTTTCTATGTGGAAATAAAGTGCACCATGATACAGCCTAATAAATTTGTCACTGATGTAAGCAACATTGAGCATAAAATAATAAATAAATAAATAAAATAAAAAACCCGCCACTTGAAAACAAACTCATTTGAATAATTTGGTGAAGCCCTCTTCTCTAAATGTCAATGATTTGTTTTTCATTTCTGTGGACCTCTTAAATCCTATTAAGCATCATTTGAATTATTTCATTTGTTTTAAAAAAAGAAACCAGCTTCCTATTTAAGCTATTAAAAATATTGATCTGTGACCAGTGCCGGTAGTGTGAAAGATGGGAACATTTTCAGCAGCCAGTAGGTCCAAATTTCTAAATTGCATTTGTAAAAAGGAAAGAAGCACAGAATCCCAAGCCTTTGAAGAAAACCGGCTCTGAAATTCAAGAACAGAGAAAGACAGTGAGAGAGGAAAGCAAGGACAGGAGAAAGGTTTATCACAGCTTTATCAAACAGGCACCTGACAGGATAATGGTCACTAACTCAATGTGTAATTATCAGAGAGCGGGAGGGTCAATCCCGTACGTATGCATTTATATGAAAAAAAAGGTATAATTTATTTGCCAAAGATTATGTTTGCATGTGCATTTGAAAAAATCTGATTGATTAGTTTGATCAACAACAAAACATATAATACTATCATCACACTTCTCATTTTTACCATTGTATTTTCCTCCAAACAAATGCATTATGAAGGTAAGGCTTTTAAATATTAATATTAAGAAATGTACTTCTGAACAGTAAAAGGCAAAAGAGGCTGAATGCAGGAAGGCAACAGAGATGTAGAAATGCATGGAGGAAAGAAACAGTCAAAAAGAGGAGGGGAGTGAATAAAGGAGCTGAGAGGGAAAAAGTGAGGCGAACAGAGGAAGAAATAAGATGGTGTAAGAGTGGATCAGAGAAAGAGAGAGGGGCGAAAGAACACGGGTGGAGGGAGGGATGTAGAGGCCCCTTCTCTGTAGAATCAAACCCCTCATGAATTAAACGCTTTAAGGCTCTGAATAGGAGGCACGTGCAGGAGGGCCTCTGAGAATAAAAAACGCTCACCCCATCTGGCTCTTTCAGGGAGAAAGAGTGAACCAGAAAGAAAGAGAGAGATCAGAAGAAAGCGGAAGATCAATCAATGGGCATGACATGGCGAGAAACCGGAGGAACAACAACCGAGCGTGATATATTTGGGGGTTTGTATGCGCAAAAATACAGTGTTAACTAGATGAAATGTTTAATGTTATTAACAAGAGGACCCAAACTTGAACCCAAGCAGGCACACAAACAGTTGTCGTCACCAACCTTTAATCTGTGAGCGACCTTCAGACACTTTTTTTTCCTGTGTCCCTCACCTTCTCTCACTTTCCCTTGTACCCAGCATCTTGGCCGTTTCCATGACGACCGAGTAGATACTGATGGGGAAGAGGGGCACATTTGTGAGAGAGCCTGAGAGTTATTGAGGGTGGGACTCCACTTGATGGACATTGGCACATTTGAAATCCATCATTCATGACTTAATGGATGAGCTTTATAATTCTGCATGCACTGTATAACAATAGAAGCACAAGGTTATATTCATCTATAATACTCTAAAGAAACTTACACAGTATTATTAGATATAATGTTTGCCTCCATGAATTCAAAATTGATCATATTTACATTTTTAATACAATTGTCAGTGCACTCTGTTCCAAAGAAGAAGAAAAAACAAGAAAAAAAACACTGGCTTTGTATTTCATCAAAATGTTCAACAACTTTCCAGTGGAGAAAATCAAATCTCGCTTTAACTTTTTGTCATGTCAATATTTTTCTGCAATTTGGTGCATTCGCTGATATTAATACGGCCAAAAAGTAAGGTGACATTCTGATAGCTTGTAATGTAATTCATTGAGATCTTTATAAAAGTACAGACTACTTACAAAAAATGCATATAAATAGCATTTGTCACCATTTATATGCCTTATTAAGATATTTAAATGATGATCAAAGCTCATTAATTTTATTGTGGGAGGTAAAACATATAATGCAATGCAATAAAATGACAATTGAGAGATGTGCAAATAAATGTTCCTCAAAAGCCTAATGTATCATATTTGATTTTAACACGATTTTTCTAAAAAAAATAAAAATAAAAATAAATGATGTATGGAAATCAAGTAAACCTAAAGAGAATTATAGAGAATTATAGAATGATAAACATGGTCTTTTACTTGCTAAAAAAGTATAAACTATCAATCAGATGACAGAAGGTTTGTAGCAGATTATGTAGAACAGGTTTTTCAGCAAAGTTTTGATAATGTTGAAATCAAATATACAGTATGTTTCATTGGGTTAATTCCACTATTGTATGGTGCAGAGCTCTCAATGAAGAAAATGCAAGGAATTGGATACCTCAAATAACACTAATAATGCTTGCCAAGGCATTATTCGATCACAGATAGACTACTGCACCTCAAGTCCTCTCTGGTCCACCTGTATCTGCTACACACTCCTTCGAGCGCATCCAAAACGCTGCTGCCCGACTTGTACTTAACCTCTGGAAATTCTTTCAATTTCCGCCTTTGCTCTGCTCTCTACACTGGCTGCCAGTAACTGCACGAATTAAACCCAAGACACTGGTCCTAGCCTGCAATGCTGCCAATGGCCCATAGAACCATTACCTAAAATCCTTCATCAAACTCGTACACCCCTAGTCTGGTCACTGCAATCAGCCACTTCTGGTCGCTTAAATCCCCTCGACACGAAGACTTCCTGCTCATCCAAGGCCAGAATTTTCCATCCATTTCTATCCTGGTTCCTCATTGGAACAAACTCCAAATATCAGACCAGCTGACCGGTTAAAATCAAAGTGTTCAGATACACCTTGACACGTTTTAGCCTAACTCTATGAACACACACACACACACACACACACACTTGGCTTTATATGAAACACTTAAAAAACTTAATCAAGCCACTAAGATTTAGTGCAAATTGATATCGAGTAATCAAAATGTCTTGTGCATTGGTTTCTTACTGGATCTTTAGGCCAAAGCTTCATACACAGACTGCTGGAAATACAGCTTAAGATGGTGGCTGTGTTTTTCAACATGGCAACTAATTTCTAGCTTGTCATCTTTTACTAACTATGCGAGCTTCAAGCTGGTTATACCAGTTTAAGGTTGACTTTGGAAAATGGTGGTTATTCAACTAGCCAATGACCAGCTTAGACCATAATCCAGCTACAAAACACAAACTCAGTTTTTTTTTGTTGTCATCGATTGTCCAACATATATCTGCACGCGACTCGAAAGCTGACTAGAGTTCGAGTCGTTTTTAAGAGGAGAACGTCTGCTGACATCATGTAAACAAACATTTTATATAGGCTAATGTATATATTAACCTAAATATAAATCTAAACAGTATTTGTTTAGGTAAGAGCCTCATCCAAGTCCCTAACCAACCTATGAGATTATTTTCTTGCACCAAAATAATTTCCATTTTATTTTAATCCCTCTTGACTGGAATACTAGAGTAGAATAATTGCGGAATAACTTTTCAAGATTACATCTGGTCAATGAAGCCCCATTTGTGTGACAATCAGACATAAACGAGCATACGCATAAATATGTAACATTATCACCTGGTTGAAAGGATGAACTCCGAACTGAAGAAACCATTTGAACCAAATCTTGACCGTCAACTCGGCGTTCAGACAATTATCAACAAGAAATCACATAATTTGGGGAGTTTGGTCGCCATCTAGCGGACGTGAATCGTTCTCTACAAGAGTCAACATCTTGAACGGTCAGACTCACACAGAATAGCTTGTGGAGACTGTTGCGGTCTGAATTAAGGCTTGAATCCCCAACATGAAGTAAGAACAAATGTTTAGGGCGTCTTAAAAGTTGATTTCAGTATTATTAGTAACCGTAAAAGTTAGACAAAGTTAGTTAAAGTGCACATACATGGAAGCCCACGAACAGAAAAGTCCGTTGGCCTCAGAAAGTAACCATAGCAACAGTTAACCGCTCGAGAGCTCGTGTCAATATGATTTTCGTGTCAATATATTATAGATTTACATTTCACAAGTATATCTCAAAAAGTGTTCATACATATATAGGCCTAAAGAATATATACGAAAATTTGTATACACGAAAATTATGTGTAGGCCTACTTCGATCGTTCCTCAAATTCTTATAGTTTTGAAGAACAAAAGCTGATTTTAGCAACCTCAACTGATAGCAACTCATATGAGCCTTTGATATTATTATTAGAGGATTTAAACAGAAAAGTTGAACTCTTTATTTAAATTGGACTGCTCTGGGAATGAGCACCATTTTATGGAATAATCAAACCTCACGAAAATGAACCATGGTTTTATTGTACTAAAAATGTAGTAACCATGGTTTTTGGGTGGATTGATTACTATTTGTATAACCAGAATTCTACCACAAATACCATGTTTAAACTATGGTTAGTGTAGAAAAACCATGGTTAATTTGTGGTTCCATGTTTTGTTTTGTTTTTTTGTGATCATTAGTCAAATTCCCATTAGCGAAGCAGTTTTGAAGACCATAAGCTAATTTCAGCAACCTCAACTGATAGCAACTCACACAAGCCTTTGATATTATTATTATTAGAGGACTTACACACAAAAGTCACACTCTTCACAGATAGCACACGTACGTCTGCAAGATGTCTGTTAAAGATCGCTTCATCTGGAGAGCATCGGCTGTGTACAAACATCTGATAGACGTCTTTAAGATGTCAGTTTTACATACACTCTAAATCATAAACATCTTAAAGACATTTTCTAAACGTCTATTTGACATCTGATAGGAAACGTCCTATAGATGTATTGCAGACGAGCAAACACTCTAAAAAATACGTCTTGCAGATGAGGTCAAATAGACGTCTCCGTGATGTACTTGTGCTATCAGGGTTTATTTGAACTGGACTGCTCTGTTGTGGCAAAGAGCACCATTTTATGGAATATGTATAGTCTGTTATTGTGTGTATGAAGTAGAGATCAGTCAAAACACGGCGATAATGAACATGATTGCCATCCCCACCTGCACTCACACACCCAAACACAGAGCATGTCCACAATTACTCATCACCCAAACATTACTGGCCAGCCCGGTGACCCCGACGACCTAGGCGCCATGGCAACCCTGTGACCTATTCGGCAGTTGCCAAGGAGACAACCTTGAAGCACATCTGACCATTGCCCCCTCCCTTCCCCCTTTCTGCTGAGACGAGGCGAGCGATCGATATTCTATCACACAGAACAGTGGAGCGAGAGAGGGAGAGGGGGAAAGGGGGGGAGAGAGAGAGAGAGAGATTGGGGGTCTGCATTGAGCAGAAAGATTAAAGCAGGCAGGACAGCTGACAAGGGGAGTGCGTGTGTGTGTGTGTTTCATAATGAGGAGACATATTTCTGTTATTTTGGAGAGTTGGCTTCAAGGCATGTTTGTAATTCTGTTTTTAGAGGTGTGGTTTTGTGTGTGTGTGTGTGTGTATGTGTGTGTGTGTGTGTGTGTGTGTGTTTGTGAGCCCTCTTCATCATCAAAATGAAACAGCGGCTGAATGTAACCAGGGAATTCATCAAAGACTTTACTACAGCCCGTCTCCTCCTTTCTCTTTCATATGAATCCCCAAACTGTATATATATATATATACATATATAAGCTGTTATAGGCCCTTGGTCTCTATCAGTGTGTGCAGACAGTCTTTAAACGGGGTGACCCACACCTCTAGGTGATATGTCTGTGAAAAAGCAATTTTATTTTATTTATTTACAGGAAATTTTATCTCAAATTAAATTTATGACCACCTGATATTTTGAAAAGTTATTGAAAAACAACTTCCTCAAAATGATGAATGTTGCTAAAATATTAGGGAGTGATTTCGAGTGAGATGTGTTTAATGTGATTATTGTTGTGATATGATTTTGGGAGAAGCCACCTCTATAAATGTCACAGCGCCGAACTCATAAAAGCTATGAGGAAGAAGGTCATAAACCTGCGAGAGTGAATTAATGATAGTAAAACCATTAACAGACTTGCAGAGTTCACAAAAAAGCCATTACAGAGATAAAAGTTCTCACACTGGTCATGTTAATCGAGTGAGTAGTTGGGATATTTTTATTAGCTGACTGCAATTTACTGGCTGAATCGCACAAAGCCTATCAAGAATGTGCCTAGGTCATATTCCATATTTGAATAAAACAATAATATAAATAAATTAATAAATATAAAGTAAAATAATAAAAATATATAATAAATTCTAAGATATTATAAAATAATTTAATCAATTTTATTTTTTCAAATAATTTTCATAACATTAAATCACATTTCCTACCCCCAAACATACTGCATATATATATATATATATATTATATTATATATATATATATTTTTTTTCTTAATTTAATTTGTAAAGTATTATATCAGTATTTTACCAGTATCACAATTAACTGTCTGAATCACACAAAGCCTGTCAATAAAATAAAAATTAAATACATTTTATTTTATCAAATTATTTTCATAACATTTAATCAAATTTCTTAACCCCGATTTCTCATTAACATGCTGCAAAATGTATTTTATTTAAATTGTAAATTTATTATAACATATCAGTATTAAAAGTAGTATATCATGGCAGTATTATTGTACATTATTATAGTTTTAATAATAAAAAATAACATTGTGTCCGGACAGGATGATTCATTACCTTAATACAGAAATTATTAAACAATGACAATCACTCAGAATAATGTGAATTACAAACTGAAAAGACATCTGGATGCATTCTGGATGATATTCAACTACACCAAAACATGAAATTCACTCCTGTAAAATGATTTCTTGATATTAATAAATTAAAAGTGTTGATTTTGAGCTCAAACACCTGTGAGTGACGTGTGAATGCATGTCCTGAAATTGCAGTAGATTTAAAAATTACACAAAATATTTCATTTGATTTCATGCCAGACATCAGACACAAAAACAAACTGACGCCAAGCTGAGAAAAGAGAGATCCTTCCTTTTTATTTCATTTTTTGCTGTTGTTTCACATATTGGTACATTGCTTCTATTCCATTTTTTTCTGCACTTATTTAAACAATGAAATCAGAGCGAAATCTCTTTTTCCTAGGACACAGAAAGATTGTAATTTCTCTTTTTTTTAACAGGGGAAGAGGGGACACGGGGGCGGATAGAGGAGGGCGGCTTCTTCACATCGTTCACGAACAGACAAACAGACGGGGACAGAGAGACGGACAGAAGGAGCAAGAGCTGGGAGGGAGAGAGAGGGGAGTGCAGGATAAAAGGGGAGGGAGAGGAGGAGTGAGAGAGTGAGAGAGAGAGAGAGAGAGAGAGAGAGAAGGGTGGCAGTGTGCTTTGTCATGCCTGAGAAAAATGAAACCAAGCAGCTCTCAGACACACTTCTAACATAAAAAGGTATCGAACAAAAAAAGCTATGAATGATTAATAAAAACAACACTCAAAAACAACAATGACATAGAAAGGAAAAATGCTGAGAAAGAGAGACTGGCGGGAGTTGGCAGGTACCGGATCGGGGTGAGGAAGGCTGTTTTCCTCTTTTTCCCCAGTAGAGGGCGAGAGCCTTAATGAATTATGATCATAAGGTTATTTGTATTTTTTGATGGTAAAGATGGAGAGGGATGTAGAACAGTAATCTAGCGTGGCAGTGTTTGTACAGGAGTCCCTGTCGACCGTGAAAGAGTCTGAATGCAGCTGCTGGGTTTGGACAGACGTGATGCGTGACATCCATTACAAAAGCCGCGCGTTTGTGTGTTTAACAGTATTAGTAAACCTCTATCATACTGGCAGATTCAGCTGTAGTCTTTGGGCAGAAACAAAAAAAAACCTCTGTGATTGGTCCTCTCATCTTCTTATTTATATTTCAGTCAAAGGAAGGAGTAACATGGTTGTTTCTGTATTGGTGTTTTTATAGTGGAGGGAGGAATGGGTAGAATGTGAAAAAGAGAGAGAGAGACAGAAAGAGATGAAGAAAGAGAGAGTGAGGGAATGAGGGAGAATCGATGAGTGAAGGATCTGACAATTCAGTAGTATGTCTCCTTTTCAACCCAACCTGAAGTAAAACAGAGAGAGAGAGAGAGAGAGAGAGAGGCTAAAAGTTAATTCAAATTCAGCATCAACAACATGAATATTAACACTACTTCTTGGTAGGTGATTAAATATTCACAATATTTATATGAGGAACATTGTGAGCATTACTAATAGCACTTTCATTTTTGCAGTGCTTCCTCACCACTTGTATGGCAAAAAAAAAAAAACATTTTAATGAATCAGTTCAAACGGTCAGCTTCAATGAATTGATTCAAAACTTGATTCATTTGCATCATGAACTCTATACTGTTCACATAAGTGTCCGTGTGGCATTTTTCATGCAATAAAACATTTGATTAAAAATACATGTATGTGAGTTTTGCTTTTTATTGCAATGAATTGTTTTTGAAGCATATAAATATAAATGGTTTAATATAATTTTTCCTTTTGGTTAATTTAGCGAGAAACAGTTTTTAAAAAAAATCCTTGATTTATTTTACCTAGATATTTACTGTATTTTAGTTTGGGGTCAAATAGTTTAAAATAAATGAAGAGATTTATTCAGCAAGGATGTATTAAATTAATCAAAACTGACAGTAAAGACA